CTCCACAAAAAACAGGCTGTTTGCCATTAGCACAAATGACACCCTCAAGAAACCGCTTACCCTCCCCACCCCCTTGTCTCTCTCAGATTTTTGTGTAGGGGGAAAGACAAGGCCACTTCTCCCCTCCACCACCGAGAAGAGCCAGTTACACAATAACACAATCATTTCTGCTTGCATCCTGAGTCCCTAATTAAACTTTTTATCTTTGTCCTCTGCTACGGATGTTGTGGAGAATCTGGGCACATATTAATGAGAACGCTGGTAGATGTCCTAGAGGTTCATAATAAACTGCTATTTTGAGTTGGGGAGGAGCATTTATATATCTCCATATATAGCAGGAAATTTGTGGAAGGAATGTGATCAGAGGGGGGGGAGAGAATAGTCCTTGGTAATTATGGAATAAATCAACCTCAGCTCTTCAAAAACTCCAAACTGATTTGGTATAGTTTTAGTCATTTAGTGTGGGCTCCGTAATAGGACCACAATGTTCTCTGGATATGTTAGACAAGGCCTTATATGGCAAATACTATGCTCTGGCTAAGAAAATTCCCGGGGATTTTGTTTAAACCAGTGTTGCAATCAGACAGGGATTTGCCCTACAGTTTGGTCCACCTGGAGTTGGACTGGTTTGCTCCTTTTCCTGGCAATCACACAAGATGTGGGCAATCATGCACCAACCCCTCCCTGAGGGGGAGCTTCCCTGCATCTTTTTAGGTCCCAGTCAGGAGCTACTGTCTTTTTAAGGTGGGTGGGATTGCTCTGATTTGGGTTGTTTCCAGCATTTAAGATTACCGGGAACCTCCTGATAAGCAGGGTCTCTGCCAGCCTTCCCAGGCTTCCCTGTTTGCTCTGAGCTTACCTACAGTCCTCACAGCAGCTGGGAGAGAAATTGACTGTTTCAGGAATAGCCCATTCTTGCAAGTTCTCCCTATTGTAATGCTAAGAGCCATTAAATTTAGGTAAGTCTTTCTCCCTATTTATTGACATGGGCCAGTTCAGCTTCTTGTATTTTGGGACCTGCCTTATTGTTGGAATGGGAGGAGGCTGTGGAGACTGCTGTAATAAGTACCTGAACTTCTAAATTTACCCCTACACCATGAAAGAGTCTGAGCGTGCCATCTGAGTGGACTGGAAAGGGTTGTTTTAACTGGAGTGATCTCCCCTAAAGGATCCATTCGTCCATTGAGGAATTGCTTCAACCTGGCCCAAAACAGGACCAACTTGGGCACAGGATGAAAATTTGGGCTGGAGCACAATTCCCCATATGTCATGTGCAGTGGTTCGGTGTGATTTATCCCCCAGAGATCACACAATGTACGGGGAAAGGCACTCCAACCCAACACTGATAGGTGTCCATGCTGGGCCTTTGAGGTCCAGCTGTAGGGCTTCTACTTTTGTGGTCCAGGCTGGAGTGATTCCCCAAAAAACAGAAGGGCGACTTTAAGAGAGATCCCTCCCATTATCGTGACCTTTTCCTGTGCCTTGACAGCTGTCTGGTTGCATGTTCAATGACCCCGTAAGCCTCCACCCAACCCTGTTTAATGGTGCCATGTCATCATGCAGCATCATTCCAGGGGCCTCCTAGGTAAAAATGACAATGGCATCATACCTGTTTTGGCTCTTTTGGGGGGCCAGATCCCTCCAAAGGACATTATTTTAAAGCAAATGGTCTTCATTTCTTTTCATTTATATTTAATTTAGATAAAGTACTTCTATGCTGCTTTTCAGGATACAAAGCTCTCTCCAGGTGGTGTGCATGAAATCCGATAGAGTAAATGGCTGGGTTTTTTTTAAAGGCATTGTTTCATACCTTAGTTCTCTTGCCTTATGTTGTCTTATTTAATATTTCGTTCTGCTGTAAAGACCAAAGAACAGCCTATAAATCTGCAAACTAAGTAAACCAACTCTGGCTTTGGTGAAACGTTGGGTATGTAACACATAATCAATTTGCTGCAGGCCGCTTTTTTCCCTTCCTGGGCACCTGAGAATTTTTCCACTGAATGCATGCCATACACCCATGTGTACGGTACATCAGCCGAATGCTGAATTTCTCAGCTCCAAATGAAAGAACGTAAGAATAAACACAGCACGCAGGCGGAATGATCAAAGCAATCGGTGTCTGAAAACTGGTTGGGTGATCGTCTCCCACTGTCATTTCTAATTAAATTTGCAAAAGTTCTTGCTGATGAATTTGATAATGTCATGTTTCCTCAGCTATATTATATGTCTCAGGAGGCACCAGCCCAATGTAAAGCATGATGAATAAGTGATGAGGGAGTACATTTAGGAGCACTGATAAGAATGTTAACTCTGAAGAAAAGATGTGAACGGACATGAGATAAGTCAGCTTGTGATGGAGTAGATGAGCCATATCTGGTCTGTGTCAACTTCACATCTGTTCATTCATAAGGCGATTATGTGCCTTTCCTGCACAGATCAACATTTTCATATTGAAACCATGCAAACAATTCACACAACGGCCCATGACGTCCATTGGGTTTGCCATGATGCTAAGAAACAAAAGCTTTTTATTTTGTTTTTCAGTATTTTGTCCTCTTTTGGGGAGTGGGTGGGCAGGCATTGAAATTCTCAGTGGGATAGCTCAGTGAGTTAGGTATCTGGCTGCAGAGCCAGAGACAAGGAGTTCGATTCCCCACTGTGCCTGTTGGGAGAAGAACCAGCCTGTGTAGCCTTGGGCAAACTGCACAGTCCCAGGGATGCCCCCAGAAGAAGGGAATGGCAATTCACTTCTGGTTATTCTGAGGGATGCCCCCAGAAGAAGGGAATGGGAATCCATTTCTGGGTATTCTCTACTTGGAAAACCTTGGAAAGTCAGAATTGACTTGACAGCACATGATCATTAGGAAATACAAACCCATCCACCCCCCAATTCAAACCCTAACCTTCAATCTACAGAAATTCCCATAGGTTCGGAAAATACCTCTACATTCTTTCAATGCCAAGTTTTTTCAGAAATCTTCCTGGTGGGCAGTTAAATAGGCATTTGAACTGATACGTTTCAATATACCATCCTGAAGCAGACATACCTCTATTTGGTTATTAGTTCACCCTTTGAGCCCTGAACTGCACTGCAGAATTTGAAGGGATATAGATAGCTTTCAAGGTATAAAGGTGTTCCTGTCAGTCTTAGGGTCTGCAAGTTGTGGGCCAGTTCAGTTCTCTACAAAACACTAACCATGCAATATTACTTGTGAAAATAACCCTATTTTATAGGGACTGAGAAACGTTTGGGATGATGAGGTACAAGATGGACATAATTATAGTGAAAAACACTAGACAACACCTGGCATCTTCTCTCTTGTCAGTAAAAGAAGTGGCAAGGGCCACATTGTGATGCCGTGAGAGCATGCCATGGATTCCATGATGTAGTGAGTTAGACCAGGACCCAGCAGGCCTGGGTTCAAATCCCTGTTCACCTATGGAAGCTCACTGGGGATGGCAATGGGAAGCTACCTCTTGAACATCTCCTGTCCCTTTAAAATCCTATTGGGTTTGCCGCAAGTCAGAAGGGACTTGAGGACACGTAACAAAAATGCTACACACTCTTTATCCAGCAGTGCACAAATGACCTCCTGAAATGCTGTAGAAAAAAAGGAAATGGTCCGATGAGGAAAAGGAAGGAAAGAAAAAAATTTCAGCACTTAGCTGAGCACTGAACGTAATCCAAAGATTGAATGCACCAGAGAAAATCTCTAATGCTGCTTCTCAAGGGGCAGGCAAAAAGGAATTAGATGATCATAGTTGTGTGTGTTGGGGAAGATTACTGCCTGAACTCTAGAATGTTGTGAATGTGATTCTGCATACATATATGATCCCTTATGTGGGAATTACATTGTCAAAGTAGATGGTATGCTTAGCTTGTTTTTAGGAGCAGTGCTCTCTCAGGTGATAAGAAACATTTACTTGTCGTGGATTGAATCCACCTACCCACCCACCTACGTATCTTGCATTTATCTTGCTTTCTTTTTAAACTGGAAGGTAAACATGGACTTAATTTGCAAGTTTGATGCGAAAAGGATGGGGCCATCTCTCAAACTATGCTAGCTTTGTTCCAAATGCTACCTGTGACTGATTACTACCCAGACATGAATGTCCTATTCTCAATAATGGGCAAAGTTCTTGGAATACTTTCAAATGTAAATTTTGCTGGGAGGGTGTGTGTGTACACAGTTATCCACTGATGCAAATTTAGTGCAATATCTAGGCTAGAATATGATCAGACACAGTTTTACAGGTTTAATATCTGACATTTCTTAGAATTTACTCTCCCCATGTGTGCTTCTGGGATTCCAACTTAGGCCACATTAACTTTTTATACATCCATTTCGAGCAAAGAAAGTCTACTTCTCCTTAAAAATCCATATACAACTCTTTTATATTTATCTCCACAGTGGCAAGGGTTATCTATTGGCGCTCCTTGTGACTGAAGAAGTGGATTTTGATTCACAAAAGCTTTCCTTGACACAAACCTATAAGCCTTTAAAGCACTACAGTATTTTGCCTCTTCTCCTCACCCCTTCAACTTCATTTTTGCCAAGATGGTGAGGCCGCCTAACACAGCTACTTCTTTGAATATCCTCCTGTTTTGATATTTTCAATCTCAGCCTCTTTCCACCTGGAAAATGAAGAAATTTGGGGATGGTCTTATCACTGATCTGCCAAACAGAAATGGTCACCCACCCTCTTTTTTTTGCGGGGGGTGCTACCCTTTTCCTTATCAACTTCTCTGTTTTGCTTTTCGCCAAGACCAAGCATGCGGTTCTGATCTCCAAATCAGACAGGATGAAAAAAGAGGAGGGAAATGGTGTTCCCAGCATCGCTCACTTGCTTGGCTCATTTTTAGAAGATGTGCTCCCTCAAGTGGTAAAAGGGATCTGTTTGTCATAGATACGATCCCACCCACCCTCAACCTCGTATCTTGCATATAGCTTGCTTTCTTTTATGTCAAAACCATCCAGATGACACATAGCCTTACTCACTTAGTCTGATGTTTAGAGCCCTTCAGGTGTGCATGATACTGTTCTATGGAGTTTAGCGTCACATTACAGATGTTACAGGTATAACTCCGCTTCAGCCCTGTGAACAGAATGCAACAGAATTAGCTGCACTGTTATATCACAATAGCAACCGGTTATTTGCTGGGATTTCAAGACAAAATGTATGTTATGTTTATTATGTTGCAGGTGAAGTGAGAACCAAGCATATTTTATTGACTCAAATTTGCTTTTATATTCTTTTATTAGCATTCCACCCCACACTCCATCCTAGAGAGGGAAACCGAGAGAGGTGCAGTGGATTCAGAAACTGTTTTGGGTCTCTGGTTGTGGAGCCCAGAGGTTGGGAGTTCGATTCCCCACTTATGCCTCCTGGGAGAAGAGCCAGCCTGGGTGGCCTTGGGACAGCTGCACAGTCCCAGTGCACCCCCTAGAGGAAAGGAGTGGGAAACCACTTCTGAGTATTCTCTACCTGGAAAACCCTGAAAAAGGTCACCATGAATTAGAATAGACTTGACAGCAGATGATGAGTATTAAACAAAGCACTGCTAAGCCTCTTTGCTATCTACGTCAAGTTAAATTGCCCTTTTCCCTGACTTTTTCTTTCTAATTCAGCAAATTTGATTCCTTTTTTTATCATCACCTTGAAATGAAGCAAAAGATGTACAGTTCTTTTTAAAAAAACACACCATAAAATGGTCTTTGAATTTCTTCCCACAAAATGTTACATCAGCTGGTTAAATATCAATATAGAATTATAGGATGTAATGCTATCTACTGAGCACACAACACTTTTACAAAATACAAATCTTCCTAATCAGCTTTAAGGCATTCGGTGTTAGTTATTTTACAAGCATGATGTCATTTTATTTAGTTTAAAATTGACTCCACTAGATGGATTTAAAACAAGGGATCTATTACTTCCATATAGGAAGTCATTTCAGGGTTGGAAACCATAGGCAATGATGAACTCCAGTCTCATCTAGGTACCCTAGAGAAGAGAAAAGTTACTTTTTAAAATCCTAACTCCCAGATTACCTATCTAACACAGCCAGTGGACATGCTGGCTGGAATATTTTGGGAAATTCTATTTCCAAAAAGTAATTTTCTCCAACCTTAATCACACCAGACTGGCTTGCAGAGATAATTATGTAGCCCACAATGTGGTTTTTTTAAAAAAAGCTCTGTTAAGCTTCTTTGCTATCAGTTTGAAAAATATGTTTTTTTGCCTCCCCCACCAGGAATCAGTGAGCTTCGAGATGCTTTGTTTCAGCTGGATTGTGCCCCAAATATATAATATCTCATTGTGCCTCTACAGCATATCTGAAGCAACAGATGGCTTGTTCAACCATTATCAGTTTAACATATGTTACACGAGATGTCTAACATTTGGTGACGATCCTGGATTAATTCTGAAAATGTCTAAAAACTGAGAAAATTTATAGGGAAATGTTGATCACCACCTCAATATGATTGTCAGCATTTTGTGGTGGACTTTCGAAAAGTGGGAAAATCGTGGACCTCTTTTGAGACATACACACCCCAATTCATCTTGGTTCATGGCATTCACATGTCTGTGTCAAGACTGGAGATGGGCATGTACCAAACAATGAACTGAAAAAACCCACAAACTCCATAGAACTGAACCAGTTCACAATTTGGCTTTTTGGTTGATTCGTGATGGTTTGTGGTTCGTGGCGAACCACAAACCACACAAACCACCCTTGTTCATGCCCATCATGAGCCAGGACTCATCCAGTTTGGGTCACTGACTGTAACGATGCCTCCATATTAGTAGACACAGCTGCTTTGGTTTAAGTTTCAATCTTGACATGGTTTTGACTTCCACATTTGCAAAAGCTGCTGGGTGTACTCTTAAATATACCATGTCCATGTTTCTTCTGGAATCTTCTTCCTGATTTTTGAAGAAAGTGGGGAGAGAGAGTTGACCCTTTGGTGGAGCAGGGTGAAACAGCTGGTGAGGATCTGAAATGGGTTTGTTGGTTTTGCAGTCAGTTGTAGAAATCTATGGTGCTTCCCTTATGCTCTGTGCATTTGAAAGTGCATCAGATATTATGAAGCTCCCCCAACCCTTGACCCGCTGCTTTCTCATTTTGATATCCAGTAGCAATGTCCTTGGCTTTATCATTGTTTGGAAGAACGGGAGCATGTAACAATACTGGTGTACCTAATGGTTTGAGTGAATGGAAGCAGGTCACCGGATGAGGCATCTGGCTGAATAAGACTTGCCTCTGGCCGAGAAAGATGCTTCGTACGATGCAAGTAGGCTGACAGCTGTCAACGAAGCTTTGATACGGGCACCGGTCATGGCAAAATTGAATTAAATACATACAGATTCTAAGCTCAAAGCCTGGGTTCAGAATAAAACCACTTAACTTGTTTTATTTCTGAAGTTTGCCATATAAAGAAAGATATTTATAAAGAAAGATTAAGGAAGTAAGAATTGTGACCTATCTGGTAAATCTTACAAAGAAATGTAGGGAACGTTTTGCCTGTTGAACAACATTTCCTTTGTGTACAAACTCTTGTCATCCACATGTTGTCATTTTCTGAATACCAAAAGTCAACAATGAGCAAAGTAATGTCCAAAAGTGGGTCGGCCACCACTGTCTTCCTGCCTCCCTTCTTTCTCCCTTTCTTTCTGATGTCCCCCTTCTCACTTTTCCTCCACTCCCCACCTGGCACGGCCAGTTGCTCTCAACCAGCTGTTCTCAACGGAGGCTGTATGGCCCCCCCTGGAGGGCCATAACACATTTGAGGGGGGGCCCAGACTGGAAACAATTCTTCACGCACTTCGTTATGCAACATACAAGTCTAATTCAGCCTACATTTCTTGCATATTGTATTTATGACCATGGCAAAAAAAAATGAGAATGACTAAAACTAATTTCTTCCCATAGCTCAACAAGATAGCAACTTGTATTTAGAACATCCTAACGAATTTGTCCCAACGTACTTGGCATCCCTAAATAAAGTATCAAAATAATTCTGCCTGGAAAAAAAATCTGGAAACCTATTGCTACACAGTCCTAACAACACTCAGCTATCAGGTTGGCTGTGTTCTCCAGTTCATGAGATACTTTTCAGGGGCTTTTGCAATGCTAAGGCTATGTGTTATGCCTTCTGACATAACAGTAGGGTTTTAGAATGTGTTGTTCTGGAATTTTACAGTGCTATGTTGTGAATTGCCTTTGGTCATTGGCTTTCCGAAGTGGCAAAGTAATAGATGAAATAGGTCCACACACAGATATATTTCTTGATCCAGAGTCATGGATGGAAAACAGACTGCCCCAAAATTTAATCAGGGACACCTAATAATTTTGACTGTGCTGTTCAATATGCAAAGCACCAGTTGCCTTTCTGCCCACAGAGAGATTGCTTAAACTGCCATTTAGATGAACACATTGATGTCAAATTATTATATGCATTTGAAGTTAAGTAGGAGAAATAATGACTTATCCTGTTCAAATATGAGTTCTCATTATTTCCTGCACATGGCCTCCTGGAACAGAGCTATTAATCAACATGAAAAAGCAGCTGCCTTCAATGGTTTTACACTACTGCATCTTGCTTCTGTGGCACCAGGCACAGGGGAGAAGGATGTTGTTTCAATTTATTTTTAAGAAGAGTTTTCTGAGAATCAACAGATTTCTTCATATTCACCATGAAAAGAATGAGAAACTTTTTTAAAAACCCTGAAATTTGAGCAAAACCAAATGTGGCAGGTTCATCCATCTGGGCGCAAGGCTTTGAATGCTTCACTTTCAAAACCTCTGGCTTTGCATCGCTGTGTATGGAACCATGTCTGATGCTGAATTATTATTGCCACCTCGTTTTGTTATGGAAATGCTCTGATCTTTAATATTTACAAGTGCAACATGGACCTTTCAGTGATGGTGAAAGATACGCTTCCAGAATTTCAGTAGTGCAAATGTGGAACAATTTCGGTTTGTTTCGGGGGAATCTCAACATTCAGCTATGTCTTCATATTTTGAATTGGAAAGATTTAACATGTAGGTTTCATGTTGAGGTGGAAACCCCTGGAGGCTCCTAGGCTCAGGATAGTGCCCATTGCAACTCCATGGTCATCTGGCATGGCTCCCCTATACAGTGGCGCCTTGCTAGACAGTTACCCCGCATGACAGTTTTTTCGCTAGACATTGGCTTTTTGCGTTCACTATAGCGATTTGCAAAACAGTGATTCCTATGGGGGAATTTTGCTGGACAATATTTGGTCCCTGCTTCGCAAACCGATTTTCGCTAGACGACAATTTTGACAGCTCCCTCCGTGCTCGCAAACAGGTGTTTTTGGGACCTAAGCTTCGCAAGACAGCAATTTAAACAGCTGATTGGCGGTTCGCAAAGCGGCTTTCCTATAGCCGATTTTCTCTAGACAACAACAATTCTTCCCCATTGGAACACATTAAACAGGTTTCAATGCATTCCAATTGGGAACTGCTTTTCGCTAGACAATGATTTCGCTAAACAGCGATTTCAGTGGAACGGATTATCATCGTCTTGCGAGGCACCACTTAGAAGGATTTAGTTTTGTTGGTACCTGTAGGTCCACCAAGGAGCTATCCATGGTTCTGAAATTGGCCAGGTTCTCCTAAACATCAGGTGAGAAGTTATTTAAGACTCTGCCTACATTTTTCGTGACTTTCTTCTTGGCACATTCACTGCTGGGAACCAAGACGATAGGAAGAGGGGAAAATGGTTTGAAAAATTTATGAGTAACACCATAATTGGCGGACAGATTCTGTTTCCAATCTGTTCTTACATATCCACCCATAGGTATGTTCTGTTCCACTTCCAGCATTTTTTAAAAAGTTGATGAACATTTACTTTTAATGATTTCCCTTTAGTGATGTCCTTGAAAAGCAGATACAAAACTATTTGCCAAATCACATCAGTAAATGTATCATGCAAACCAATCCATGAACACCATGCCTGTTTGCTAAGCACATCCTTTATCCCACGTTCTTTTTTCCCTTCCCCTCCTTTCCCTTCCCTTCCCTTCCCTTCCCTTCTAGTGCTAATCAGCCAAGCATTACTGCCCAT